TAGACGGAATATTGACAATGGTGACGACCATACCCTGCAAAGGGAGATAAAAGGGCGATCAAGAAGACTTGAAGTTCCAATTCCAATATGTGGCTTCTTTTCCCCAAAGAATTCATTGATTGCTCTATGCTTTATAAGTAGCCCTGAACTTGATACTAATCCAGTAAAATAGCTCCCAACACTATGCAACTCAGTCCCTTTAACACTATCAACACTTAAATACTCCTTAAGAAAACCTTCCACCATAACTCTAGGCACACTTGTGAACTCCTAAATTATACTAATAGTGACACCCTAAGGAGCAAGAGGCACGGACGAGTCAATAAAAAAGTTACAAATTCATTAATAAAGAATCATCAGCTTAATTACATTTTCAAAAATAAAAATAAAAAATATTATTTCTGAAACTGACGGATTGAAAGTGTCTATAATTGCAGGGTCTAGAAATTAATGTTGCTGCAGGATTTTGTCACTGTCTATGATAAATGGTCCGACATATAGCGCCACTTTTTATGGCACTATATCAGCTGCGTCAGATTTTTTTTGTATAATGCCAGAAAATCTGGCGCTATACATTAACGGTGCAGTTACCGTTAATGTATAGCGCCAGGTTTTCTGGCGTTATATATAGTATGGTAACTTTTTTTTTTTACACCTATTTATGTAGTTTGAGTCCAAAAGAACCACATTTTGGTTCCGGACTCCTTAAACTAGGGTACAAAGGAATTGGATGGGATGATCTAAAAGATGATGAGTTTTTGAAAAAGAAACCACAGATTTTAACCTTCATTGCAGCTATGTAACATAAATTTGCCAAAAGTATGTACAGTACTACCATTGGGAAAACCATAATTTTCACTGGCAATGTCATTGAAGATGAATAATGGAAAGAGAAGAGAAAGAGAGGGAGGGAGGGAGGAGAGGAAGGCAAACTGGAAGATATGAAGAAAATAGGAAGAATTTATTGGATTGGGAAATTGACACATATATACCAGTCAGCAGTTATTGGCACCAAATTAGTCAAGAATTAGGTGTGGCAATGATTGGCATTCCGTTAGCCAACTCTTCCAAAACAGAAGAAAGCATCAAGCTAGGAAGTGATTTCACTCAATAACCATAGTTAAAGGTGGACATATCTAATGAGCTTGGATCATCAAATTGCTTTTAATTGATGAACTGAGACTGACAGAAAATAGTTGAATACTATAATGGAAATAGGTAAAGAAAAAATGGAAAAGACTTTTCTTGGTAACATGAATAAGCAAGGGATCATACTTTCGGAGCCATAAACACATAATTTAAGTCCTTGTTGATAACCATGTCCTCTGAATAAAAAGGGCAGCCCGGTGCACAAGCTCCCGCTATGTGTAGGGGTGGTAAATGGGCGGGTTGGGCTGAATTTGAGCGGGTCAAGATGGGTTACGCCAATAAATGGGTCGTTGCCCAACCCAGCCCAAAGTGTACTTGGGCTAAGATGGGCTGGGTCAAGATGGACTAAACAATGGGTAATAACCCAACCCGCCCAACTTGACCCATGTTTTGAACCATGCTCATCTTGCATAAAAAAATCTTTTACCTTAAAATGTGTAAGTTGAAAAATATTTTATGGTTGGGGGTGGGTGGGTGGGTGGGTTGGGGGAAGGGTTTGGGCGCGGTGGGTGATGCAGAAAAAATGAAAAAAAATAGAAAACAGAAAATTAAAAATTAAAGAAAAAGTAAAAAAAAAAGTTTAAAGGGTTTTGGACGGGTGGGTAGGGTGGGGGTAGGAGGGTAGTAGACAAGAAAAAACTAAGAAAAGTTAAAAATAACGAAAAAAAGTAGTGATACGTAGTTTTTTGAGGGGGGGGGTGGTGGGGTGGGGTGGGCAGGGTGGGGTGGGTGAGTGGTGCAGAAAAAAATAGAAAATTAAAAAGTAAAAAAAAAAAAATACTAAAAGTTTTTTTTAAGGAGAGGGGGGCAGGGGGTGGATGGTGCAGAAAAACAAAAGAACATAAAATTGAAAATACAAACAAAAGTAAAATTGAGGCAACTAAATAAATTTCTATATAAGTTGGGTTGAGATACCTTTTTGTTTTGGGTGAGTTTCATGGGTTGTATTTGAGCTGCTTAAGAATGGGCTATAAAATATAATGGGTTAATTTGGGATCAACCCAAATTGACCCATGAGCTAAAATATTTGTAACTCAACCCATTAATCTCTGGGCGGGTTGGACGGGTTAGATGAGTTTGGGCTCAAATTGCCACCCCTAGCTATGCGCGGGGTCTGAGGAAGCCACAAGGGTCTATGCAACAAGTAAACATCACATATTAGCCAGTTCCAAAACATTAAACTAAAAGTCCATACAAATAAGCACCAACAAAAAAATGCCATATGCAACAAAGGACCATAAGCATAATCCAAATGAATTTCAACAAATGACAACATTCATTTCAAATTGATTAAATGACTTACATTGTATCTTATTACTTCTAACCCAAATAGTTAAAGTACATGCTGAAGAACTATTACATATTAGCAAGTTCCAAAACATATTTTTTGTAGTAAACCGAGAATCTCGTGCATAGATATATCTAGCAGATGCCTTACGCGTAGTGTAGGCTATCCTGGTTGAACTGACGATGGTTTACACCTTATTAATTAGGTCTGATAAGAAGAATGTAAGTGGCGAAAAGAGTGGTGGCGGATTTAGCAAAGTATGTAGCCTTTCTCCATAACTTCAGAAGTTTACTGGGAAAGCAGAATTAGCAAAGGACAGAGGTTCACAAATTCATGTTGCTTCTTTTTCTTTTTTCCTTCTCTAAACCCCTGTCGCCATTGGTATTACCGCGTGCAACTGAAACCTTCTATTTGTTTAATGTATTAGAGCATAAGTCCATCAGCTACATTACTGTTTTGACCAAGTCTTTAGCTAGTAGTTAGGAGTTTGTTATTCCTTTATCTTCTCAAATAAATCTCCTTATTCAAGGAGTTTGTTTAGCAAGTAGTTTAGTCCTCCTCTTCTAGAGGAGTTAGTTTAGGGAATTGGCTTGTCACTCTTGTATTTAAAGGTTGCCTTGATTCAATAAAGATATCAACTTTTTGTGTCTCTCTTGTTCTTATATGGTATCAAGAGCCTCAACAAACTCTAACGAGTAAGATCCTATCTTTTTTCTTTCCCACCACCCTCCACAAATGGCCAACACTACTGGAGTTGTTAATGCTGATAACAATAGTGGTGTGATAGTCGTCCAATTTGATCATGCATCACATTTGCCAATAACATTACAAGGCAGCCACAACTTTGTAACTTCGAAGGCGCACTTTTCCATGCTTATGCATGGTCATGATCTTTATGGTCATCTAGATGGGTCTACTCCTGCCCCATCTCGCACTATCACAAATGGCACAGTCCTTAGTGGCAATCCTGCATTGCTCTTTGGTTTCGTCAAGACCAACACATTCAAAATGCACTTATGGCACCTGTTGATCCAACAATTGCCACTACCGTTGCAGCTGCTGACTCAGCTAAAAAAGCCTGGGATGCATTGCACACTGCATATGCTAACAAGTCCCAAACCAGAATTTTCAGCCTTCGCGATCGACTTGCGCGACTCACANTTTTCCATTAAGGATTTCGGAAACCTTAACTTTTTTCTCGGAGTTGAGGTGCTTCGTGTTGCAGATGGAATTACTCTATCACAATCCAATTACATCAGTGAAATCCTCTCTGAAGAAAATATGAAAGACTGCAACTCCGCAAAAACTCCAATGAGTTCCACTGAAGTGCTTCAACAAAATGATGGAGCGAAACCAACTGATGCCACTCGCTACAGGAGAGTTCTTAGAAAACTATAGTACTTGTGTTTCACTTGTCCGGACATAAGTTTCCATTGAACAAATTGTCTCAATTTATGCACTCCCCATCTGAACTACACTGGAAAGCACTCAAACGAGTACTCAGGTATCTTTAAGGAACAATTCAGTTTGGTCTTCGCATTCAAAGAGACAAGGATTTCAAGCTACACATGTATTCTGATGCGGATTGGGCTGGAGATGCGAGTAATCGAGCCTCCACTACTGGTTACATACAATTTTTTGGCCAAAATCTTGTGAGCTGGTCATCCAGGAAACAAAGAACAGTTGATCGCTCATCAACCGAAGCAGAGTATCGAGCGGTTACAAGTGCACTTGCTGAAACAAATTGGGTGACGAATCTGCTAAATGAACTACATATTTCAATTCGACAAGCACTGTGACAATGTTGGTGCAACCTATTTATGCGAAAATCCAGTCTTCCATAGCCGCATGAAACACATTGCGGTGGACTTTCACTTTGTTCGCAAGCAAGTCCAACAGAATCAAGTTCGCATCGTTCATATTCATACTGCAGATCAGCTCACGGATACCCTCACCAAAGCACTTTCAAAGCCATCAGCTACTTTACTGCTTTCCGTACTGCTTTGACCAAGTCTTTAGCTAGTAGTTAGGAGTTTGTTATTCCTTTATCTTCTCAAATAAATCTCCTTATTCAAGGAGTTTGTTTAGCAAGTAGTTTAGTCCTCCTCTTCTAGAGGAGTTAGTTTAGGGAATTGGTTTGTGACTCTTGTATTTAAGGGTTGCCTTGATTCAATAAAGATATTAGCTTTTTGTGTCTCTCTTGTTCTTATATGGTATCAAGAGCCTCAACAAACTCTAACGAGTAAGATCCTATCTTTTTTCTTTCCCACCACCCTCCACAAATGGCCAACACTACTGGAGTTGTTAACGCTGATAACAATAGTGGTGTGATAGTCGTCCAATTTAATCATGCATCACAATTGCCAATAACATTACAAGGCAGCCACAACTTTGTAACTTCGAAGGCGCACTTTTCCATGCTTATGCATGGTCATGATCTTTATGGTCATCTAGATAGGTCTACTCCTGCCCCATCTCGCACTATCACAAATGGCACAGTCCTTAGTGGCAATCCTGCATTGCTCTTTGGTTTCGTCAAGACCAACACATTCAAAATGCACTTATGGCATCTGTTGATCCAACAATTGCCACTACCGTTGCAGCTGCTGACTTAGCTAAAAAAGCGTGGGATGCATTGCACACTGCATATGCTAACAAGTCCCAAACCAGAATTTTCAGCCTTCGCGATCGACTTGCGCGACTCACAAAAGACTCCCAACCAGTTACTGTATATTTGCAAAATATACGATCCATGGGTGATGAACTCTCTACTGCTGGTGCCCCTGTCACAAACTCTGAACTCATTGTTAAGATCCTGAGTGGTCTAGGACCAGAGTTTCGTGAGATTTCTGCTGCAATTCGTGCTCGTGACTCCACTATTACGTATGAAGAACTCTATGAGAAGCTTCTTGATCATGAGCTTTTCCTCAGACATGAAGAGTCAAAGAAATCTCCTAGCCAAATTACTGCTGTTGCTGCTACATTCAACAAATTTGGAAACTCCAACAATCGCAACAATCCTCGCCCCAACAATAACAATGGCAACAACAAACAATGGCAATACAACAATCGCTCTAATTCATAAAATCAGGGGCGATCTTCGAACACCAACAACACTTATGATGGTGTTCGCTGCCAGTTATGCAACAAACCAGGTCATGTTGCAAGTGTATGCATATCCAGATCTCACAATCATTTTGAGGTCAAGGCCAACTATGTTTCGGGAATGCACGCATCAGCAAATCCCTGGATTCTCGACTCTGGAGCATCTCACCACATAACTTATAATCCTCACAACTTGCAGGAATACAATGACATGGAGCAGGTTACCATGGGTGATGGTAACAAAATACCAATAACTCATACTGGTTTAACTAAATTACATGCATCAAATAATGCTTTTAAACTCTCTAACAGTCTCTGTGCTCCTAGCATTAAACGTAACTTACTCTCCGTCTCTAGATTTTGTCAAGATAACCTAACCTCTATTGAATTCTTTCTGTTTCATTATTCTGTGAAGGACCTGGAAACGCGGAATCCGTTGGTGCACGGTCGGAGTAGAGACAGTCTCTATGAGTGGCCAACCTCACATTCCATATCTTCCCCTAAAGCGCATTTGGCCTCCACCAACACATTCATGTTCACCTGGCATCGTCGATTGGGTCATCCGCATGCAAGAGTTTTAAATTTTGTTTTGAAAAAATTCTCGCTACCTTGCTTGCGAGATAAATTTTTAGTTTGTAATTCTTGTTCATCGAACAAGTCTCATCGCCATCCTTTTCAGAATCTTACTTTATCAAGTACCAAAACGTTTCAAACAATATTTAGTGATTTATGGGGTCCTTCTCCAATTTTATCGATTGACAAAAAATCATATTATTGCATTTTTGTTGATCAATACACCAAATATATTTGGCTATATACATTAAAAAATAAAAGTCAGGTTAAAGACCTTTTCAAAAATTATCAAGCATTAATGGAACGTCGTTTCAATACAAAAAATCTTTCTATCTATACTAATGGTGGTGGCGAATATAAAAGTCTTGATCCATACCTGAATTCTCAGGGTATTGAACATCTTTTATCTCCCCCATACACCCCCCAAAGAGTCGCTCTTGCAGAACGACGTCACAGACATATTATTGAAACGGCAAGAACTTTACTTCATGAAGCTTCGCTTCCACCGACTCTTTGGTCATTTGCTTGTCAACATGCGGTTAATCTCATAAATCGCTTGCCAACCTCACTTTTACAAAATAAATCACCTTTTTAAATATTGTTTGGTAACGATCCAGATTATAATTCTTTAATAATTTTCGGTTGTCTCTGTTATCCCTGGCTCAAGCCCTATTCAAAAATAAATTAGAGTCACGGTCAACACCTTGTGTTTATTTAGGTTATTATTTAAATTATTATTCTCATCAATCTTTTGATCCGAAATCTTCCAAAATATATTTATCTAAAGATGTAAAATTTTTTGAACATAATTTTCCTTTTCAGAATATCTTTTCAAATATTTTTTTTAAATTTCAAAACTCTTTCGTGGGAAAACCTAATTGAAACTAACCCAACAAAATCTCTTATTTTTTCTCCTCCCATAATAAGTGAATTACCCAACCCTATACTTATCCCAAATACAGAAACCAACGCCCAAGAGAACACCGTGTCCTCTGCCTGTGCTCGAACAGAGTCTGCAACTACAGGTACGTCTTCTACTTCTCCTCCTACAAATTCTGTTGTTCCTCCTGATCTTAATGATACCCAATCTTATCCCCCATTGCCATCCCCAACAGTTATCACAAGAAATTCAAATGTCTCCTCTCCTCCACAATCACTACGTACATTATCACTACCCCCTTCCTCAACATCTATATATTCTCAGCAACCATTCATATCAGTCCCGCGGCCTCAATCACCATCTTTACCAATTGTATACAGTCGCAGAATGACCAAAATGATATCTACTGGCCAAATCACTGTTGCTCGTACCACTGCCTCAACTCCGCAACCCTCACAACCTTCCCTCGAACCACTTCCAGTCACAGAACCAAAACAACCTTCTCTCCCTCCTCCAAATCGTGTTGTGACACGTTCACAAAGCAACATCCATAAACCGAAAAGAATCCTTGACTTCATGGCTCACTTATCCCCCACCATCACCCCTACTAGTTTTAAACAAGCTAACAAACACCCAGAGGGGCAGAGAGCAATGAAAAGTGAATTTGATGCATTATTGAATAATCAGACATGGGAATTGGTCCCACATGACCCCACAAAAAATATTATTTCTTGCAAGTGGTTATACAGGTTAAAGAGAAAAGCTGATGGGACAATCGATCGCTACAAGGCCCGTCTTGTTGCAAAGGGATTTACAGAACGCCCTGGAATTGACTTTCACGCTACATTTAGTCCGGTTGTCAAACCGACTACTGTGCGCTTGGTGCTTTCAATTGCTGTCCAGCAGAATTGGCCCATACATCAGCTTGATGTCAACAACGCGTTCTTGCAGGGCCACCTAGAAGAAGAAGTCTACATGGTCCAACCTCCGGGTTTTGAAGACGAGCAGTTTCCCTCACATATATGTCGCCTAAAGAAAGCTATATACGGACTCAAGCAAGCTCCTCGGGCCTGGTACAATGAACTTAAGACGTTCCTTCTTTATTTAGGATTTGTCAAGTCCGAATCTAATGCATCACTTTTCATTCGCAAAGTGTCGAACATCGTGTTGTATGTGCTGGTCTATGTCGGCGATATCATCATCACAGGGAGCCATATCTTATATGTAAATCAGGCTATATATTGTATTGCTGGCCGTTTTTCCATTAAGGATCTCGGAAACCTTAACTTTTTTCTCGGAGTTGAGGTGCTTCGTGTTGCAGATGGAATTACTCTATCACAATCCAATTACATCAGTGAAATCCTCTCTGAAGAAAATATGAAAGACTGCAATTCCACAAAAACTCCAATGAGTTCCACTGAAGTGCTTCAACAAAATGATGGAGCGGAACCAACTGATGCCACTCGCTACAGGAGAGTTCTTGGAAAACTACAGTACTTGTGTTTCACTTGTCCGGACATAAGTTTCTCATTGAACAAATTGTCTCAATTTATGCACTCCCCATCTGAACTACACTGGAAAGCACTCAAACGAGTACTCAGGTATCTTTAAGGAACAATTCAGTTTGGTTTTCGCATTCAAAGAGACAAGGATTTCAAGCTACACATGTATTCTGATGCGGATTGGGCTGGAGATGCGAGTGATCGAGCCTCCACTACTGGTTACATACAATTTTTTGGCCAAAATCCTGTGAGCTGGTCATCCAGGAAACAAAGAAAAGTTGATCGCTCATCAACCGAAGCAGAGTATCGAGCGGTTACAAGTGCACTTGCTAAAACAAATTGGGTGACGAATCTGCTAAATGAACTACATGTTTCAATTCGACAAGCACTGTGACAATGTTGGTGCAACCTATTTATGCGAAAATCCAGTCTTCCATAGCCGCATGAAACACATTGCGGTGGACTTTCACTTTGTTCGCAAGCAAGTCCAACAGAATCAAGTTCGCATCGTTCATATTCATACTGCAGATCAGCTCGCGGATACCCTCACCAAAGCACTTTCAAAGCCATCAGCTACTTTACTGCTTTCCGTACTGCTTTGACCAAGTCTTTAGCTAGTAGTTAGGAGTTTGTTATTCCTTTATCTTCTCAAATAAATCTCCTTATTCAAGGAGTTTGTTTAGCAAGTAGTTTAGTCCTCCTCTTCTAGAGGAGTTAGTTTAGGGAATTGGTTTGTGACTCTTGTATTTAAGGGTTGCCTTGATTCAATAAAGATATCAGCTTTTTGTGTCTCTCTTGTTCTTATATGGTATCAAGAGCCTCAACAAACTCTAACGAGTAAGATCCTATCTTTTTTCTTTCCCACCACCCTCCACAAATGGCCAACACTACTGGAGTTGTTAATGCTGATAACAATAGTGGTGTGATAGTCGTCCAATTTAATCATGCATCACAATTGCCAATAACATTACAAGGCAGCCACAACTTTGTAACTTCGAAGGCGCACTTTTCCATGCTTATGCATGGTCATGATCTTTATGGTCATCTAGATGGGTCTACTCCTGCCCCATCTCGCACTATCACAAATGGCACAGTCCTTAGTGGCAATCCTGCATTGCTCTTTGGTTTCGTCAAGACCAACACATTCAAAATGCACTTATGGCACCTGTTGATCCAACAATTGCCACTACCGTTGCAGCTGCTGACTCAGCTAAAAAAGCCTGGGATGCATTGCACACTGCATATGCTAACAAGTCCCAAACCAGAATTTTCAGCCTTCGCGATCGACTTGCGCGACTCACAAAAGACTCTCAACCAGTTACTGAATATTTGCAAAATATACGATCCATGGCTGATAAACTCTCTACTGCTGGTGCCCCTGTCACAAACTCTGAACTCATTGTTAAGATCCTGAGTGGTCTAGGACCAGAGTTTCGTGAGATTTCTGCTGCAATTCGTGCTCGTGACTCCACTATTACGTATGAAGAACTCTATGAGAAGCTTCTTGATCATGAGCTTTTCCTCAGACATGAAGAGTCAAAGAAATCTCCTAGCCAAATTACTGCTGTTGCTGCTACATTCAACAAATTTGGAAACTCCAACAATCGCAACAATCCTCGCCCCAACAATAACAATGGCAACAACAAACAATGGCAATACAACAATCGCTCTAATTCATAAAATCAGGGGCGATCTTCGAACACCAACAACACTTATGATGGTGTTCGCTGCCAGTTATGCAACAAACCAGGTCATGTTGCAAGTGTATGCATATCCAGATCTCACAATCATTTTGAGGTCAAGGCCAACTATGTTTCGGGAATGCACGCATCAGCAAATCCCTGGATTCTCGACTCTGGAGCATCTCACCACATAACGGATAATCCTCACAACTTGCAGGAATACAATGGCATGGAGCAGGTCACCATGGGTGATGGTAAAAAAATACCAATAACTCATACTGGTTTAACTCAATTACATGCATCAAATAATGCTTTTAAACTCTCTAACAGTCTCTGTGCTCCT